ACTGTGTACAAGCTGAACTGTTTGCTGAAAACTGCTTTATTTGAAAGACTACACTGAAGAGTGTCAAGAAAGCAGGGAGAGTGCAAGGAGGGAAGATATGTAGTAAATGTCACATGTAGGATTTGAACCTTTGCCACCGGATCTCACGGCAGCTGCGCATCCCACTGCGCAGCTGTTCTGGTCTCAAACAAAGATATGATGAGAGAAAAAATGTGCACTGTGCAGAAGAAGCTAAATTGTACTGAAAAGAGGTAAAACTTGCTGAATGTACAGCAAAAAAAGAGATAAGGAACCTGAAAATTGTGCTGAAAAGAGGTTAAGAAGCTGAAGTTTGTGCTGAAAAGTAGTGAAAAACTGAAAATTTTGCTAAGCAGTCAGCAGTCACTATCTCTGGGGGGCATCACAACTATTGTAGACCCCTTAAAATGTGGCTGATTAAAAAGCTTCCAATAAGTATTTTTTCTCCTTTTTTTTTTTTTTTGATTTAGACAGAAAAAACGTAACAAAAAAAATGTTTACTTGGTGAGCAGCAATGAGCTAAAAGCCCATAAATGTAAATCAGATGACCTTCACTGTAGACCATCAGACTATTGCCCTTAAATAGAAGGCAACTTTTACTTTTGCACTAAAGCATTAATACTAAATGTTCTTGGTTTCGTCATTTTGTTTATCAAAGAGACATTGGTAGTTTAGCTTGCATATGCAGCCTCATCTTCGCACTTTCTACATTTAAACAGATTCACACTGTTCAAGACAAACAGTCGCCTGCTGTATTCCAGTAATTCCACCCTGCTTCTCCGCATTGCTGTTGCTGCTTCCACAGTGTTTTGTAATGGGTGAATTACCAGCAGTGATTTGCTCTTTTACAGTTTTGTTAATCCTGAATAAAAGACTCCCTGACAGATTAGTGCGTGTGGGCTGTTTGTCATTCAAAGCCCTTTAACGAGAAAAGTCTTTCGGTCTCTGGAAATTACAGACAGCAGAGAAGAGGTTTAGTGTTTTTCTGCCTTCTAAGAAAAACTCAACTCAAGGCATGCACACATGCAGAAAGAGAGTGGGAGATTATCTGTTTATTTTAGCTAATGTTCATATTTAATGGGGACACTCTAAATGGCAAAAACAGAGGTTGCATAATCACATCTACTTGTTTGAAATGTGCCTTTGTGAGGATCCTTCAGGCTATTTATTCTGAGCTAGGAGCACATGCTTTGTATCGTAGTGTGGGTATTCTACTCTTTTTGCTAGTCGCTATATAGACGTCTATAATTTAGATATCTATAAAGCATATATTTTCCAGATACACGTAGACCTGTCATGGTCCTGTCACATCAACACCGTGGTGAAAAAGGCCCGACAGCGTCTCTACCACCTCAGACGCTTGAGAGACTTCCAACTGCCCTCCAAGGTGCTCAGGAACTTTTACTCGTGCACCATAGAGAGCATCCTGGCGGGAAACATCTTAACCTGGTTCGGGAACAGCACCATGCAGGACAGACGAGCTCTACAGAGGGTTGTGCGGTCAGCTGAGCCCACCATCCGCTCCGAGCTCCCTGACCTGCACTCAATCTACAGCAGGCGGTGCTGGACCAAGGCCAGGAAGATCGTGAAGGACCTCAGCCATCCCAACAACAGACTGTTCTCTCTGCTGAGGTCAGGAAAGCGATTCTGCTCCCTGAAGACCAACACAGAGAGACTGAGGAGGAGCTTCTTCCCGCAGGCGATATGGTCTCTCAATCACACCACCACACAGTACTGACCCACACATACAGTTCTTACACACACACTGGACTTTCTGGACTTTGTTTTTGCACAACACTGGTCACTATATTCTTCATTTCCGGTTAATACTTGTACAGCTGCTGTTATTGTGTATATATTTATTTATATTTAGATTTCTTCATACATTCTTATATAGTTCTATATTGTGTATTTTGTTGTACAGTTATTTTATTTTCAACTTTAATTTATATATTTTATCTTATTCTTCCCAGTTAAATTTACCCTTCATTCTAATTTGTGTTGTACAGTTATTTCATTTTTAACCTTAATTTATATTTTATTCCTTCCTAGTTAAATTTACCCTTTTTAATTTTTCATATTTATTTCCTATCTTATTCATAGCCTTTCCTTTTTTGTTTTCTTTAGGTCATGAGCAGTTGTCCAAGCATTTCACTGCATATCGTACTGTGTATGACTGTGTACGTGACAAATAAAATTTGAATTTGAATTTGAATTTTTAAAAATATGGTATATTAACCAGATTTAAGATAAAAGCATCATGCAGATGCCGGTTCTTCCACATTCACCATGAGCATGAATATTATTTTCAAGCTTTCATTAAATTAGATGTTACAATGGAGCCAGAGTCTGCAAGCACAGTTACGGTGTGTGAGTTCATAGACAAACATGAAGCTAAACTGCCCAACAAAGGCAAAGTCCAGCAACTACAGGAGTCAGGCTGAAGCTGAAATTTACTAAACTAGCTACTTTACCAAGAGATTTCTGTTTTTTTAATTCTCAATAATGAATGTATTTGGCTGCCAGGAGAACACATGGGATTGCATAAACAGCACACCACTAGGTTTTTCGTTATGAAATACATAAACAGTTAATGATAATGACAGATAATCGGTATCAGTAAAACTACAATTATCTTAATTCTTTTGGAATTGTAAAAGAAACTCACAAGACTGGAAACGTACAGATACTGTAGAGGGTGTGGACCCTGAAAGATTCCATGAAAAAAACCTTCTTGGTGTGATGATTGATGGTATAAGCTAGAAATCTCATATAAAATACATGCATTGTCATAATGCGGCTGTGTGCAGGTAAGATGAGGACCCAATCGCAAACTCACGGAGGCAGGATGGAACTCAAAATTCACAGCTTTATTGTTAGAGAGCAAAACTACACACTGGTACACAGAGAAACACACGCCATGAATGAAGGAGAACGCGACACTGAACTGAGGGAGATATGGACATAAATACACAGAGGGTTAACGAGGGAAGTAGGAGCACACGGGGAACACAGGTGACACTGATAATCATAACGAGACACGGCATGAGTAAAACACTGATGGGAGACTGTCAAAGTAAAACAGGAAGTACACAGAGGTGCAGACAGGAGGAGAGAGAGAGAGCACAGACATAACGGGCTGGGGAAAACATGGAATAAAACACAAGGAGTGTAGACAAGGGCTCACAGATACACAGAGGGGCACACAGGGGTTAAAGTCACAAGAGGAAATCCAATAAGGAACATCTTAACAAAACAACCTAGGAACCAAGGCAAAAATAAAGAACAAAATACAAAACACACGAAAACTAAGAATGCTGGGTCAACATGACCCAGGATCATGATATGTATAACAAAGTTTCAAAAAGCATTTCATTATTTCATTGAAGCAATTTACATTTGGGACCTCATATTACTCCACATTCTCTACTGACCACTAATTTCACCAAATTTGAATTACTGTTCAGAGGTTTCAAATGATGAATGGTTCACTGTCATCATTTACCATTTTGCAAGAAAGGGCCATGAGGATAATTTTAAATACTGGTCACAGAGATCACACAAAAGCCTGTTCTTGAAATTAAACATACTGAAATTTACTGATCTGGCTCATTTTCAAACCACACAAATTATGTTTAAAGCCAAAAACAACGTGCTCACTGACAATATTCTAAAACTGTTGATTTGAGGGGGAGTTCAGTTTAAAACATCTGTGTCCATACAACAGTAAAATCCCAGTATCATGGCATGAAACTGTAGATGTGGCTAATGTGTATATACATGTAAATGTGTTGTCTCTTTAAATGTGTAACCGTGATTATTTTCATGTTGGATTGAAATAAAATATCTCCCTCTGCTGGTACTGCAGCTTATTGCAACTTTTGCAGCTCACGCTTAGCCTCATTGGGAAATGGACACTGTGGACCAGCGTGTCTATTATACGCTTTGCCATGATACTGGATTAGGAGTGAAGCTATGGAACAAACTTGGTGAGAAACTAGAGCAATGACTCTAGTTTTGCAATATACAGGGAACAAATATGGCTTTGACTGGGTGTTCTCACCCAGTATTTATCCTCTGTGTGATGTAGAAATCTCAATAATATATGATGAACTTGTCATTTTCCTTTTTTGTTATTGTATTATTTTAACATATTCAAAATAAAACCACATGATATCATAACACAAGGTATGCAGAAGAGTATCTTTAAACAAATAGCACATCAAACCTGGAAGCAGATGGGCTACAGCAGCATTAGATCACACTGGGTGCCATTCCTGTTAACTAAGAACAGGAAACCAACCGATGGTGCAATTCATGCCAACTCACGCTATGAACTCATTAGAAATGAACAGCAGAAAATTGGAAAAATTGTGTGACGAGTCCTTTCAAAAGAGGCCAACATTCACCCCATTCAAACTGGAACTAGAAAAATTTGCATTTCCTGCGAAAATGCAGTGTGGATGCTTTAAAGCTGAAGCTGTATGCAAAAACTAGCTGAAAAAGCTGAAAAGTTGCAGAAATTGTAAAAACTTTGCAGAAGCAAATGGAATAACTTAGCAGAACTGCAATATCTTAGAGGAAACATAATACTTGGCGGAAATACAATAGCATAGCAGAACTTAGCAGAAATATTGTATTTTACCAGAAACATGATAACTTCTCAAAAATACAAGAATTTAGGAGAAATAGTATAAGATAACAGAAAGAATATATTTAGCCAAAAATACTTAAACATTACAGAAACACTATGATTTAGAAAAATAGTACAACAGAGCAGAAATATTGTGATTTACCAGAGACACTGTGATGAACTATGAATATTGTAATTTTAAATTAATACTATGTTTTAGCACAAATACTATAATTTGGCAGAAATACTATGTTTCAGCACAAATACTCTGGTTTAGCACAAATATTATAAGATAGCAGAAATACAATTATATAGCAGAAATGCTATATTTAGAAAGAAAAATATAATATAGTAGAAATATATGATTTAGCAGAAATACTACAATATAGCATAATAACAATGATTTAGAACAAATACTATGATTGAGCAGAATAGTAATAACTTAAGTGAAAATACTGGAAAAGTAAGATGACAAGCTGAAAAAAAAAACGGAACATGGTTAAGTTCCCCAAAACTAATTGTTGTTCACCTGTGGAAAAAAAATAAAGAAATAAAAATAAATTTAAAAAACAAGAAGGAACAGCCAACAGATACACACAAAATCAAATATGTATACACAAATGCACAGAGAGAGAGACACACGGAGGGTCTATGCCAGTCAACCAGTCTGAATATATTATATTTTTTTCCAACAATGAGATGCTGCCCTAAAGAGGGTCTCTCTCTCTCTCTCTCTCCCACACACACACACACACACACACACACACACACACACACACACACAAACAGGGAGAAGAAGCATGTTTTCAGTCAAGCAGCCTGGGAGCTGCTAAATTTGAATCCACAGAGGCTGTGTACTTTTTCCCGCCAAAACAGGTGCACACACGCAGCACAGAGACAGGATTTTTGTAGTCTATTTCTCATAGTGAGGATTCCCCTCAAACAAATGACCATAATTTCCTAACTGTATTGGCCAGAACGGTCATTCTTACACCGTTTTGTTCAGAAGAGATGGGGGAATCGTCAAGTGTTGACAATTTATCATTAAAATATGAATTTTTAGAGATATATGACATCGATGACTTGTTGGCTTAGAAGCCACGAAGGCCCCAATATGCAAATTTGAATGCCTCAGCCCACATATATGATTGGCTGGCTGGGAAGCCGTCCAGGCCCTGATTTGTAAATTTGAATGTCTCATCTCATCCCTAAGATATGATTGGCTGGCTGGGAAGCCGCGCAGGCCCTGATATGTAAATTTGAATGCCTTAGTCCTCACAGAGGATTGGCTGCCTGGGGACCTGGCAGAAATATATAGAAATACTATGATTAAGCATAAATACTACATTTAGCAGAAATACTATATTAAGCACAAATCCTATAAAAAGCAGAAATACTGTACTATGATTTGGTAGAAAAACTATAATTAATCAGAAATACTATATTTAGCACAAATCTTATAAAATAGCAGAAATAGTATGATTTAGCACAATAGTAATAACTTAAACAGAAAAATTGGAAAAGCAAAATGGACAGCTGAAAAAATGCTGAACATGCTGAGGGTCCCTCAAATATACTTGTTAAATGAAAAAAATCAGCAAAAAAATATATAACAGCCACACAATCACAAATATGTACACATAAGGAAACACACATGCACAGAGAGACACACACACAAGATCCAATTCAGTCAACCAGTCTAAATATATTGAATTTGAATCTTACAATGAGATCATCCCATTAAAAGGCTCTCTCTCTCTCTCTCTCTGACACACACACACACACACACACGGAGAGAGAAGTAAGTTTCCTAGTCAGTCAGCAGCTGGGAGCTGCTGAATTTGAATCCACCAATCAGAGAGGCTGTGTACTTTTTCCCACCAAAACAGGTGCATGCAGCACAGAGAGACACAGGATTTTTGCAGTCTATTTCTCATAGTGACGACTCCCCTCAAACAAATGACCATAATTTCCTAACCGTAGGGGCTAGAGCGGTCATTCTTACACCGTTTTGTTCAGAAGAGATGGGGGAATCTTCCAGTGTTAACAATTTATCATTAAAATATGAATTATTAAAGATATTTGACTTGTAATGCACCATAACTGAGTAGAGCGAAGCAAAAACTGCCTTGACTTGCCCTCAAACAACGCTTTCTAACTCTAAATCTATTTGGAGATCGATATCATTCTTTCACCGTAAGAGACAGCAGGCTTTGGTGAACAGTCATGGAAATTTTCAGGTCTCTGTGGAAATCCAACAAAAAGTTATGACGAGAGAAAAAAGTGGTTCATTTCCAGAGTTTGAAATCTGAAGAAATCTGAGCGAAGGACGAATTTCCTACCCTCAAACAAGTCTAACTCATTTCAGAACGGTAATAGGTGAGAAAGAAATTCTTGAATTGTGAGCGTCAGGAGTGTCTGAAGATATACTGGGACAAGCCTCATGTCTTAACTTTGTTCGTTAAGGAGATATGACGATTCGAATATGCCTCTCATTACAGAAATCAAGCGGTGATTTTGAACAACTCTCCATTGACTTTCTATGGAGAGTTTTCGACTTTGTGTTGGTCTGAGGAGATTTGCAAAAATTCTATAAGTCCCACAACAATGATAGTGACATTTCCTGAAAGCCAGCAAAATACTACGTTTTGATGTATAATTTGTGGAAGTTGAGTGAAAATTGAGCAAGTAGCAAGAAGTTGTTCGGACATGAAGAGAAGACTGCAAAACCTTCAGTGGCACACTGGAAGCCAAGTGCATAGCAACCATAACAACGCATGTATTTTGTGAAAAATCACAATTTTGCAACTGAAAACTTTAAGAGGCATAAAAGTAAAACGGTAAAAGATTTGAAAAAGCTGATTTATACCTGAATAGCCCAATAATTTGAGAACATTTTAAAGTTTGAATGGTTGCTCTATGTGAAAATATGAGGAAGTAGTTAAGTTTCAAAAACAAGCAAATTTTAGCAGAATTGCAGAAGTTTCCCATTCATTTCAAATTAAAGGAAAAAAGCTTAATATTTTAAAAAGTATAATAGTGAAAAATACCAAAAGACATAGCCGTCATTAGCAGAAATAGCAGAATAGTTTAAAATTTGAACGGTGAAAATAGCAAAAAAATTGTGGAAGTAGATCCACGGCGAAAAGTGTACGGAAACATCAAGAAGGAACTCAATAGTGTGGATGCTTAAAGCATTCACACAATAAAAAAAAAGTTACACTTCCTCAGAATTTTATGTGTTTTTTCATCTTATCTTTAATAAATATTATGTTTAAATAGTTTGCGGATTGCTTTCTATGTTCATTTACATTTTATACAAGTACTTTTTGAAAACACATCTACAAGTATACTGTTAAAAAAATATGAAAATATTAACATTTTTACAACATGGTAACAACATAACAAACATGTTTACAGCCTGGTTACAACAACTGTTTTGCTAATTCCCTCCTTTAATAAATGTATAAGGGGGTATCCAGTGCAGCCAGCAGTCAGTTTGTGCATGACAGAAAAAAAAGTGCTTATAAACATAGATTAAAGTGCTGCATGAATATTTGTGAGTGAATGTGGCTAATAGTGAAACTCACTTTGAATGCTCAGTTAGTGTAGAAAAATACTACAAGTACCAGTGCGTTCATTAAAAGTGTTACACAAGAAATCTTTAGACTCTGATATTACTAAGTAATAATTAGCAGGAATCTGTTTCTTTCCAGGACACGCTCGCAACCAAACTCAGTAAGCCTATCTGTCTCGTCAAAATGGAAAACAATAAACAAATGCATTTTGTTGTTGAGTGACTAATCACCAGGTGGCAGCAGTTATAACTCTTACTGTCTTTATCCTTTGCTTTTAAGGACACAAGAACAAAATTCAGTCACATGTGAGTTGAAAGACAGCTCAAATGTGAATCTGTGTAATGAAAAGATATACTTGATGTACATCTGGATTTGTTCTGTAGTACTGGGTCTGTAGCTGTGTGTGATCCTGACCAGTGTGACACAGTCAACAGTCTGAGTTTATTTAACAAAAAGTGAATTATTTCTGCAAAGAACACAAACGTACCGAGGAAGCCAGTGATAAGTAAGACCAAGACCAGAGTCCAAACCCAGGATACAGAGGTTCATCAAACGTGGTGTTGAAGGTGTGGAGGTGGATCAGCTTGTCAGAGGAGACTCTGTAAAAAGACAGAATGCCAGCAGGACAGTCCACATACACTGCTACTCTGCCAGAGACAGAGGAAGAAGAGGAACAGGAAGGGATGGATGTTCCTTTTGTATCATGCCAGATAGAGTAAACACCATCGGTGAACAGACTCCAGGACTGAGGATTCCCTCCAAACCAACTGTCATTTCTTTCTCCTCTCCTGCTGATTCTCTTGTAACTCACTGATATATGCACACCTCCACTCCACTCAACCTCCCAGTAACAGCGGCCAGTCAGACCATCTCTGCACAGCAGCTGATGATTCTGGTCAAATCTGTCTGGATGATCAGGATATGACTGATTTTCTTTCACATATGTCACATTCCTGTTGTTGTCAGACAGTTTAAGGTTTCTGTTTACTGTATCTGTGTTGACTGTAAGCTCACAGAAATCTAATGAAGACAAAAGGACATAATCTGCTCATTATTACCTTTTCATGAAAACTAACGTTGGAGATCATCTTCATCCACGGTCATTTTAATTTTGACTCATTTTAAAACATACTTACACTTCCTCAGACCTTGTCTGAGCCACTGGACACCAGCAGGCTCCAACCTGAAAGGAGGAGGACTGTCAGGACCAACACAGTCTTTTCACAATGCACTTTCATCCACACACTTCACTTATTTACTGCCAGTGTTGGAGTAATAACTGTGTTCTTCACGAATGCATTTTACATCAGTATGGAACACTTGTAAACAAGCTGAATACACAGGATTAAAGTCTATTTGATCTGTTCTTCTTTGAGTTACCATTCATTTATTTTTACTGTTATCATCACTTTACTATTTCATGAAGTACATGAAATGTCGCTCTACAAATAAAGTTCAGATCCACAATTTGTACACACTAAATCTGTTGCCTTGTTTCTTCTAATAAAGTAATGAAGCATTCATACAGTAACTATCCAGTTAATCTACTTATGGCTATACCTATTTAGCTTTTTTCTCCTCTTTGTCATTATCTTTGAGTGCAATACATTTTCCATACTTGAGACTCTGTAGTCTCCAACAGGGATCTTCAAGTCCAGAAGATAGCAGCCTTTTTCCTGAGTCTCCTGGGTGATTGTAGCTCAGGTCCAGCTCCCTCAGATGAGAGGGGTTAGAAGTCAGGGCTGAGGCTAGAGAAGCACAGCCTTCCTCTGTAATCAAACAGCCTGATATCCTGAGAACACACAAAGAAATTAAATATTTTATCCCTTTTTTTCTGTAATGCAGTGACCATTACTGTTAAATTACCATTGCTATTTTCATCTGCAAGTATTCATATTTGGCAGTATGGATCTGTTCTGCCAAGTGGCATGAAGAGTGCAGCAACTGTGGGAAGGTTAAAGCTGCCTATATTATATGTCATAAATGAGTTTTGCCAACTTGATGTATAGAAGAGAATAACCTGACCAGCAGGAGATGTGGGCTAGTATTAAAACAAGCTGACCAACACTATAAATTTTCAATTTTGACATAAATACAATATTTTAATTTATTTTAATGATAAAGAGCTGTTGCTCTCAGAGAAATAGATTCATATCTAAACAATAATAAAAGCCACTGCATAGAAATGTGCCAAGGTGTGTTTTAGACTGGACTAGACTGTTGAGATGTTGAAATCAACAAAGGTACCTGAAAAATGGTACCATAGGAAGAAACAGAATAGATGTGCAACTGGTAGTATGACACACAAAAATAATATACTAAATTTAAAGATGACCATTTGATTAGGTTAGAGAAACCTGACCTGAGAGTTTCCAGTCTACAGTGTGGATTCTTCAGTCCTATCAACAGCAATTTTACTCCTGAATCTTGCAGGTTGTTATTATTCAGATCCAGCTCTCTGAGACTAGAGGATTGCAAGCTAAGAACTGAGGACAGGGCTGCACAGCTTGCTTCAGAGAGGTTACAGACACTCAGTCTAAAGAGACAATAAGAGAAATAACATTTTAAGTGAAACAAGTTATCAAGATCTTATCACATTTTTGGGGTGTTTACTTGTAAAAATAAATAGCCCAATTAAATACCTTCGGTATAGTCAAGACTAGGCAGTAAAGAAATATATAGACTAGTGCCATAATGCCATAACCGCAAAACACGGCAAATCTTCGTTAGCGAGTTAGCACGCATTGTCCTGTTAATGGGGCTGCACAGTGCTAATGCATTAACGAGCTAACCGCGCAAACACGTTGACGCATGGGGCAATCTGCCCTAACTCGCTAACTGAGATTTGCCGCGTTAATGCGGTTATGGCGTTAAGGTCATTTTAATGAGATTAACGCTGACAGCACTAATATAGACAGTATAGTCTGACATTATACAGTCATCTGGTGTTTAGCATGACTGTGATAAAATAGTTCTATTAACCCTTTAAGACCTACCATAGAACCAAGTCCGCCAGAGCTTATATTATATTTTTACATAGTGTGGTGCCATTTTTGGGAGCATTTCAAGTTGCTATACATCAATACAACAATTATAGCCCAGATTTTAATAATATGTATTCATTAAGTGCATAGTAATTACATAAATTCCAAAAAAGTGCAATAAACTACAAAAAAAATTGAAAATCGTTTTTGCTTTTATAACATATATTTCTAGTTAGAGAAATTTAAGAGGCTTATCGCTCAAAACTGTAAATACAAAAAACTTGCACAAAATAGTTTCCCACCACAGGAAATTTATTTTGAGTGTCTTCATAGTTTTATTTTTGAAATACACCAATTTTTATATACTGCAGGAAAAACGAAAATAAATATTATACTGCAAATTTGCAAAAAAGCAGCATATGCATCAAAATAAGCTATTTCCAGCAGTGCAATTTGAGTCCTAAGCATCCCAGAAAAGACACAGAAAGTCATAAAGTCAAAGATAACTTTTAAAAGCACCAGTATAGGCCCTGAGGCCCTGATGGTAAAAAAAACTACATTTCCGCGAAAATGACGTCACTTCCGATTTCGGGCAGGTAATGGCGGACATGCAAAAATTCGCGCTGACGTCTATTCCAACGTAGGAAGTGTTATGAAGAGCTGATCGGATCGGCAAAGCGTGTTTCTGGAATATTATGTTTTTGTTGCTGCAAGTGCTTTTTATGCAGTTTTTGCAAAGCTGTATGTGGAAGGAAACCGTGACCTAGGACAAGCTGATGGCATAAGATGTAAGTACAACTCCTCCGGTTTCATATGCAAAAAAAATTATTGCGCTAGCTTACGTGGTTGCAGAGCTACCGGGATTTAAAAATAGTTACGCAAAACAGAGCGTGCCCGCTCCGACCGGCTCCAAACGGTTAACTAAATTGACTTTATTGGTGATACTGGAGATAGTATTGAAACAACTTCTTTTCCCCTAACTGTTTTCCCTAGAGCAGCACTGTACTGCAATCTGACCTGAGAGTTTCTAGCGTGCAGGAAGGACCCTGCAAGCCACAAGACAGTAGTTCCACTCCTGAATCCTGCAGGTCGTTGTTACTCAGGTCCAGCACTCTCAGGCTGCAAGTTTGGGAGCTGAGAACTGAGGCCAGGGAACCAACATTTCGTTCTGTTATGAAACAGCCATTCAGCCTGAAGAAAATGATGAATAGTAATATTTGTGTTAAAGTGACATGTCAGTCGTTTTTGAATAAGATATAATCCTATCTACCCGTCTAATCTATCTAAAAGTGGCACTAACTCTTACATATCCCACATTACTATTGTTTGAAGAACAGAAAACACGAAAATCATGAAAGCATAAAATTATCAATGAGAGACCATAACTGCGTGTGAGATAATATATGAAAAAAAGGTAGGTATTCCCCCAGCGTGTCCTTGGTCTCCCCAGGGGCCTCCTTCTCGTGTGACATGCCTGGAGCACCTCATGCAGAAGGTGCCCAGGAGAGTCTTAATTAGATGGCCAAAGCACCGCAACTGTCTCTTTTCAACGTGGAGGAGTAGTGGCTCTACTCTGAAACCCTCTTGACTGAACTCCTCACCCTATCACTAAGGAAGACGCCAGCCACCTTTACATGAAGCTAATTTCTGCTGCTTGTATCTGTGATATCATTCTTTCTGTCAATAAACAGAGCTTGTGGTGAAAGGTGAGTATAGGGATAAACCGTTAAATTGACAGCTCTGCTGTTGTGATCAGCTCTCTCTTTACATGACAAACTGGTACAGCATCCCCATCACTCTCTGACTGCTTGATACCTCGGCCAATCTCTCACTCCCCTCTCCCTTCAGTCCCCTCTCTCCTCAAGGATCGCAAGCAGAGGAGTTTAAGACCCTGAAATACTTAAACTCCTCTGCTTTGGGGCAGAAACTCATCTCTGACCTGGAGTGAGCACTCCACCCTTTTTTGGCTGAGGACCGGATTGCAAATCACACTCTGCTGCAAATCACACCAGTGAGAGCTTGAGACCACCACCTGAGGCCAACAACAACAAGGCAACATCCTCTTCTAAAAGCAGAGATGAGATTCTGAGGCCACCAAAGTGGAAGCCTTCTGTCACTTGGCTACAACTAGAAATTCTGTCCATAAAAATTATGAATGTATTCAGTGACAAAGGGCTGAGTCAGACACCCACTGAGAATAAGTTCGACTTACTGCCAAAAGATCAGACCAAGCTCCAAGTTTTTGCTTCAGCTACCGCCTATTCCACATTCTGCTTGGACTGCCAGTACCTATCAGCAGCCTCCAAAGTCCAACAGACTAAAAAGGAAGGAGCTGGAGGGAGAGTGTTTGGTGGTCGGGCCTTAGCCCATGGGGCCTGGCCGGGTGCAGCCCAAAAAAGCAATATGGGCTTCCTGTCCTGTAAGCCCACCACCCACAGGAAGTGCCAAAGAGGTCAGGTGAAATGGGTGTTGGGCGGTAGAACTTTTCAGTCAAACATCTAAATCATTCAATTCAAGTGTTTCAATCATTTCCATAGCCACAGGTGTATAAAATTAAGCATCTGAGCATGTAGACTGGTACGACAAACATTTGTCCAATCCAGATGCAAAATTTCCTAACTACTAAAAATTCCACAATCAACTGCAAAATGGGATTTTCTTTCTTTTAAGTAAGGCAGAACTATATCCATCTGACCTGAGATTGTCTAGCATACACTGTGGACTCCCAAGTCCAGCAGATAATATCTTCAATCCTGAATCCTGGGGGTTGTTGTTACTCAGGTCCAGTTCTCTCAGTCTAGAAGACTCAGAAGTAAAAACTGAAGACAAGGCCTCAAAACTTCTCTTTGCAAGGGTGCAGAAAGTCAATCTAGGTAAAACAACATAGGAAAAACATTTATTTAGCCTTATTTTCTGTTTCACAGAGAAGACTATTCACTAATTTCAAATATCTATACACTTTGTTTTCAATACATGCGTACCTGTGTACTTACACGGCTTTTCTTGAGGCTTTGACCACAGGCAACAGCCTTAGAAGAGCCTCCTCTGAAGCAGAGTATTTCTTCAGGTTAAACACATCCAGATCATTTTCTGATGACAGTAAGATGAAGACCAGAGCTGACCACTGAGCTGGAGACAGTTTATCTATAGAGAGACTTCCTGATCTCAGAGACTGTTGGATCTCCTCCACAAGAGAACGATTGTTCAGTTCATTGAGACAGTGGAAGAGATTGATGCTTTTCTCTGCAGACAGATTCTCACCAATTTTCTTCTTAATGTGCTGGATTGTTTCCTGATTGCTCTCAAAATGTCTTTTTGTGTCTGTCAGTAAGCCTCGAAGGAGACCCTGATTGGTCTGAGTTGAAAGACCCAGGAGGAATCGGAGAAACAAGTCCAGGTGTCCATTCGGACTTTCCAAGGCCTTGTCAATAGCACTCTGGTGGAGATATTTTAAATAATTTCTTTCTTTAAACAGTTTAGACCATAAAGGCATTTTTAGCTGATCTTCCAGCACATTAATACCAGAGTTGATGAAGGTCAGATGGACATGAAGAGCAGCCAGAAACTCCTGAACACTCAGATGGACGAAGCAAAACACCTTGTCCTGGTACAGTCCGCTCTCCTCTTTAAAGATCTGTGTGAACACTCCTGAGTACACTGAGGCTGCTCTGATATCGATGCCACACTCCGTCAGGTCTGATTCATAAAAGATCAGGTTTCCTTTTTGTAACTGGTCAAAAGCCAGTTTTCCCAGAGATTCAATCATCTTCTTGCTCTCTGAATTCCAGTGTGGATCTGTTTCAGCATCACCATGATACTTGATCTTCCTTACTTTAGACTGAACCACCAGGAAATAGATGTACATCTCAGTCAGAGTCTTTGGTAGCTCTGCTCCCTCTCTAGTCTTCCGTACATCGTCCAGAACTGTAGCAGTGATCCAACAGAAAACTGGGATATGGCACATGATGTGGAGGCTTCGTGATGACTTGATGTGGGAAACAATGCTTGTGGCCTAGTCTTCATTTCTGAATCTCTTCCTGAAGTACTCCTCTTTTTGTTCATCGGTGAACCCTCTGACTTCTGTCACCATGTCAACAAACTCAGGAGGAATCTGATTGGCTGCTGCAGGCCGTGTGGTTATCCAGAGGTGAGCATAGGGAAGCAGATTACCCCTGATGAGGTTTATTAGCAACACATCCACTGAGGCAAATTGTGTAGCATCAGTCAGGATCTCAGTGTTGTGAAAGTCCAGAGAAAATCGACACTCGTCCAGACCATCAAAGATGAACATGACCCGAAACTCATCAAAGCTGCAGATTCCTGCTTTTTTTATGTCAGTAAAGAAGTGATGAACAAGTTCCACCAAGCTGAACTTTTTCTCTTTCAGTACATTCAGCTCTCTGAAAGTAAATGGAAATGTGAACTGGATGTCCTGGTTGCTTATGTTTTCAGTCCAGTCCAGAGTGAACTTCTGAGTTAAGACTGTTTTCCCAATGCCGGCCACTCCCTTTGTGAGCACTGTTCTGATCTCTTCCTTTTTTCCAGGTAAACCTTTAAAAATGTCTTCTCGTTTGATTGTTGTTTCTTGCCTGTCTACTTTCCTGGATGATGTTTCAAGCTGTCTGATTTCATGTTCATTATTGACCTCTGTAGTATCCCCATCTGTAATGTAGAGTTCAGCGTAGATCTGATTCAGATGGGTAGGGTTTCTTGCTTTAGCAATGCCCTCAAGCACACACTGAAATTTCATCTTCAGACTGTATTTAAATTTATGCTGACAAACTGCAGCATGGCATTCTGAAAGAACACACACAAAGCAGGATTTTTAGAAGTACAAAGGTACATCAAACCTACCACCAATTATGCATTCTCCTAAAGCATGAGTATTTGAATCTATCAGTCGATCAGCCATTTAGTCTTCATTCAGTGGGGTAAATCTTTGGAAGATTGTCTTACTGCTCTGTAGACAGTCAGCCAGCTTCCCCTGGTTCATTTTTCTTAGGAAGTGCAGCGTGCTCCTTAGAAATGAGTCTTTCTGCTGTTTGTCGTCACACCCCAAAAATCTGTCATCCTCACACTCATTGCCTTCTGAGTTATCTGGACTCACACTCTTCTGCAGGTTTTTCAGCTCATTTTTCCCAAAAGGGATAATATTGTCCTCCAGTTGCTGTAATAGAACGTAAATGAAGAATACAATTAGACTAATGAAGCCACACATCAGATCTATGGTGGCCAGACTGGCAAACCACAGGTTTGCAAAATATAGCATGGGTATGTCTGTGAACTGACCATATTTAAAATATTAGTTTTAACATGGACAAACCATAAAGTTGGAGTCCACGTCATACTGATGACTTTGATCCTCTGAGTTCTCCCAGTCCTCAATCCTGTGGATGAACCATACAATAATTAGCTTATATTATCTCTCATTAAATAGCATAAACAGGAATAAATGCTTAAAAAAAGTAAACCTTTTTCCTTGTTCTGATAAGGGTTTACTTTTCCAGGTCCCACATCTATAGAGTCCAGATTCTACAAAGATGTGCCTGCCAACATTATTTAGCACTATAACTTATTAGCACTATAATTTATTAGAGTCGCCCTAAAATCAGAACGTCCATGCCCCTTTCAGGGTGAAAACAAGGTGCTATTGCAGCTTTCAAAGAAGCACAATGAACTGTTTAAGAACTTCACTACAAAACATAATTGCTACAGTTAATCATGTTTTCTGTGCCGCAGGGAAACAAAAGGACAAACATTACAACTGATATATATTTTTTAAAATTTACGCTGCTCCTACAACATGTAGATGTCTACCTGCAAAGATCTGCATAGCATCAAATCAATGAATCCGGACCAAGCTTGACATTATGCTGTCCCACCTAATCCTTGAACCACTAGAAATGCCTAATGATTTTAACACATGTTAATTTGTTATCCTCCTCTATGGGTGCAATAACTGCTCCTGGTTCTACACAGTTTGTCATTCCTTGTATTGTAAGCAGGGAGAAATAGCAAATGATGACCAAACCAGTTCAATTGGTGGAAAGATTATGACAATATCCTTATATCATCATCTCCCTGAGACATTATGACTCCAAAAAGTTTGAGTTTTAAACTGTGAGGGAAGAAGTATAGATCAAGGAGGCTCATGAGAGACAAATTAGATTTAAAAAAGTTTGTATCTTTAACTAAAACGTACACTGTGCTTGAAGCTTTCTAACAGCAGGAAATATGGATTCCTAATATCAGTGTGTGTGTCTATGTGTGTGTTAGTTGTGTACATTAGCAAAGCTCTCCTGCCCTGTCACCAGATGTAAGAACCATTACACAACAATTCAAAGACACATCAGAGACATTTTACTGACAGCTTACTTCAGCTCATCAGGATCTTGCTTTTTAAACTTATAAATCATGCTTTTTGACTTGTTGCTGTTGAAGGAGACACAGCTGGGTGAAGATCCAGAAGATTGTAGTCTGTGATCAATCCTGAAATGAAAAAGCAATGATAAATGTTAATAAATGACTTTCTGTAAATATTAATTTTTTTTTAAATAAAAAAAAGTATTGTGTCTAAAATTCCTCTCCAAATTTACCTTCCATCAGCAATTTTTTTAAAATAAGACTCCATTGGCTGGTCAGTTTTCATGGACACAGAATTTAGTTTATTTCCAGTTTCAGGTCCAGCAGGTCCATTAGAGTGTGGCATGTGCTGCTGCTGCTGCTGCTGCTGCTGCTCAGGCTTCAATACAAAGGACACACAGAGCAGGGATTGTGAATGATAATCAGGTGCTGAGCTCTGATACACAGAAGATAAATAAATATAAATAAATATAAAAAATACAAAAATAAGTTGACCAATATTATACGTGTATGTAGAAAGGAGTATTATAGTAAAATATTGAACAACAATAAACATAATATGAAGGGAATATGGGATGTTTTAAACGGTATCATTAAAAATAATTCTGGACAACAAAGTTATCCTCAATACTTTATCGACAATGGCAATATTATGGAAAACACTGCTGATAAGGTCAACAGCTTTAATCATTATTTTGTAAATATTGGACCAAAACTGGCAGAACAAATTCCTGAGTCACTGCCATCAGTAGACTGTAGTGAAAACCTGATTGATAGGAACCCTAACTCAATGTTCCTCACATCAGTGGAGGAAAAAGAAATAATTGACATTGTACACATGTGTAAATATAAAACATCTACTGATTGTAACGATATTGACATGAAAATCGTCAAGAAGGTCATTGAAGGAATTGTAGGACCTCTAACATATATTTGCAACTTATCATTTCAGACGGAAAAGTGCCAAACAAAATGAAAATAGCTAAAGTTGTGCCGCTGTATAAAACCGGGGATAGACGCCACTTCACAAATTACAGGCCTGTTTCTTTACTACCACAATTCTCCAAAATCCTAGAAAACCTGTTTAATAAACGATTAGACAAATTCTTAGATAAATATAAATTACTCTCTGACAGTCAATATGGATTCAGATCAAAAAGATCAACATCTCTGGCATTAATCGAATCAATTGAGGAGATTACGAATGCTATAGATCAGAAACAGTATGCAGCTGGAGTATTTCTGGATCTCAAGAAAGCATTCGACACAATCAATCATGACATATTAATTAATAAACTGGAACGGTACGGGATCAGGGGGGTTGTACTGCAATGGGTGAAAAATTATTTAAGTGACAGGAAACAATTTGTGAAGCTGGGTGTCCATTCCTCATCATGCTTGGACATTGCTTGTGGTGTTCCACAAGGCTCTGTACTGGGTCCAAAATTATTTATTATTTATATAAATGATATTTGTAAGGCATCTGATATATTAAAATTAGTATTATTTGCAGATGACACAAATATTTTTTGTTCTGGGGGGAATCTAAAGGAGCTGCTGGATACAATTACTTCAGAAATGTGCAAAATTAAAAAATGGTTTAACAGGAACAAACTATCGCTAAATCTAAGTAAAACTAAAATTATCTTATTTGGGAATTCCCTTAGAAATGCACAAGTGCAGATTCATGTAGATGGTGTGGAAATTGAAAGAGTACTTGAACATAAGTTTCTTGGTGTGATTATAGATGATAAATTAAACTGGAAGTCTCATATAAATCATATACATAACAAAATTTCAAGAAGTGTCTCAATCTTGAGTAAAGTAAAACACATTCTGGACCACAAATCACTCCACATTCTCTATTGTTCCCTGATTGCACCGTATTTGAATTACTGTGCAGAGGTTTGGGGCAATACTTACAAATGTTCGCTATCATCAATCTTTATATTACAAAAAAGGGCCATAAGGATAATCCATAAAACTGGTTACAGAGATCATACAAATCCACTATTCTTAAAATCAAAAATTCTAAAATTCACAGATCTGGTTCATTTTCTCACTGCACAAATTATATATAAAGCAATAAATAACCTGCTTCCTGACAATATTCTAAAAATGTTTTCTAAAAGGGAACGGGGATACAATTTGAGGGGGGAATTAAATTTAAAACATCCTCGTATCCGTACAACATTAAAAAGTTTTTGCATCTCTGTGTGTGGAGTGAAGCTGTGGAACAGACTAAGTAAAGATATGAAGCAATGTCCAAGCATGGCGCAGTTTAAAAAGCGGTTTAAGGATATGGTTTTTACAGGGTACAGGGAAAGGTAGAGATTTGATAGGGTGTTCTTGTCTAATATTTTCATGTGTGTGCGGGTGCACGGGTATGTTGGTATGGGTATATATATATATATATTTGTAGGTTGTGTATCCTTGAGGTGTTATGGGGTTATTGAAATGTGTAATGTGGTTGTGTTATACGTATGTTGGATAGATAAATATTGTTATTAATTTATTTTTATATTGAGCAGCACGGTGGCACGGTGGTTAGCACTGTTGCCGCACAGCAAGAAGGTCCTGAGTTCAATTCCACCATCAGGCCGGGGTCTTTCTGTGTGGAGTTTGCATGTTCTCCCCGTGTTTGCGTGGGTTCTCTCCGGGTACTCCGGCTTCCTCCCACCGTCCAAAGACATGCAGCTTGTGGGGATAGGTTAATTGGATAATCCAAATTGCCACTAGGTGTGAATGTGAGTGTGAATGGTTGTCTGTCCCTGTGTGTTGGCCCTGCGACAGACTGGCGACCTGTCCAGGGTGTACCCGCCTCTCGCCCTAGACAGCTGGGATAGGCTCCAGCGCCCCCCGTGACCCTGAAAAGGATAAGCGGAAGCGAATGGATGGATGGATATAATATAAAAATCACATAAATAATGTAATTGCAAGGAGGTATTTCTGTAGTCTATTGATACTAGATAGTGGAAAAGGGGTGGGATTAAATAAGCTTATGCTTCTTCCTGCTCCTTTTTGAACATGAACGTTATTTGGAGTTGTGGTTGCTCGTTTTCCTTTTGTTTTGCTTTGTTCATTTGTCTCTTTTAATTCTATTTTGTTTTACTTTTTCAACATGTTCAAAATAAAGATTCAATCAATCGAAGAGTCGTGGATAGTTAGAGATCCAAGTCATACCCAAGCCTAGACCTTCACACATACATCAAGCTGGGGGGAGAGTCACATTATACCTCTTACTCGATTAAAGCTATCAAGCACTGCAGCAGCTTATTGACCTCAGCACTGAGAACATGCAGGTGAAAGTTTTCACTCAAATAAACTCTCAAATAACTTCATGTGTCTTGAACAGATCTGTTACATAACATAATGAAACGTCTGTCAATGGAGCTGATAATGTGATTCAGATCTTTTATTATTAAACGCTTTCTTGAGTGATTCAAATATAATGTTACACCCGCAACAATAACACATTCACCCTCAGTTGTTTTCCTGAGAACATAATCAAACTGCTAATGTTTAACCGTAGGCTAATACCATTGCAACCGATCAGTGATCTACTCACTGGACTTTCAGACACAAAATCTATCAGTGTGCAGCTCTCTGGTGTCCCGAGCACTTCTGTATACAACAGCTGTCTTGCGCTGTATGTTAAACCTTTATAGGATGAAGCGAAGCAACACTTCTTCCTCTCTACATGCTTGCATGTTTCTCCACACCTTCGTTGTTTTTTTTTTCAATTTTCAATTTATTTTTATTTATATAGCGCCAAATCACAACAAAAGTCGCCTCAAGGCGTTACATCACTGTGACCGGTTTGACAGGTTAGACTGTCTGAGCTGTGTTCAAAGAATCAGATATTATAATGAGAAATGACTTGTGCTTCTCAGAAACACTTATTAGTAAATATTATATCTCTACTTGGCTTTTGAATATTTGCTCTTGTATTTGCCCTTTATACATGAAAAAAATTGTGAAATACTTGTGCAGTAGTGGGACTGCGGGGATAAATGTTGCTATCAGTGCAGTGTTCCAGAACACGCGCAGTTACTATAGCAGAGCTGTAGAAGGTTCTTAACCCATCAGCTTTAGGGTTAAGAACCTTAAAGCTGGCAGTGCAAGGAGCACTGCCAGCACTACAAAATTACCTGCAGCAGGCCTCAGGTGTGAATGTCTCTGTACAAACAAGCACAACCACCTCGGTGGTGGATCAGTGATGGTCTTTGGAAACATATGCAGGTGAGGCAATGGCATCCCGACTGTCATGATGTGTCAGGAGGACTAACAATCACACGTTCAACTACAATAACACTGGAAATGAATCATATTCATATAAGCTTTGAGACAAGACTGAGGATTAAGATGAAGCAGTGTGAAATGTTGGTGATGACAGAAATTTAATGGATTCATAGGTAACAGTCACCTGAACACATTATAAGCAAGTGATGGGGCTAGACAGCATGGCTGTTTTAATGATTTCTGCTAAGACAAGACAATAATTACAGGCTCCAACTTAACTGCTGTGAAATCCCCAAAAAGGTTAATGAAAAAGAAACTATGCAGGAAGGTGGAGCATCCCTGGATCAGTATCAGTCTGCAAGAAATCACACCACAGGTCATTTCAACATGAATGTCCCTTAAACTACAGCCTGGAGAAAGTCCCGCTGCATTTCCCTGATCGGATCTAATCTATTTTAGTTAATACAACACAGTTACACAGCTCACGGCTGAAACCAGTTCAGTTCAGATGAAGGTGAACCCAGTTTAATGAAGATGCCATAAAATACTAGTAACTGGAATTTTGATATTGAAAATGAAAATTATCTTAACATTTTCTCCACCTTTTTAATTTTTTGAGTGTACAGTTTTAAAGTATTCAGTAACTACAGTTAAATTTAAATGAAACAGATTGTTATCATTATTATTATTATTATTATTAATATTATTATTATTGGTCAGGGAAAGTATGACTGGACTACTAATCTCCATGGAAACAATACCTGTCTATCCATGGCACAGTTTTTTCTGCCATGCCAGTTTTTACCACAGAGCTAAAAGAGCTAAAGTCACTATTTCAACCATGCTTGCTGCGGGGGTGCAAAATGTACAAACAACAGAAAGTTTCATCCTCTGAAGCGCAGTTTAAACCCGAGTTTAACAGCATGCTGAAGCCTCGGTCACTCTCACAAACTCACTATACACCAGCCAAAGGTCACAACAAAGCACAGAGCGGGACACTGACACACAAAACGACGTGATCATTTAATGCGAGTCCATAAGAATATAGTTCATGGTGATGATGACAATGGTGATAACCGGACGGAGATATAAAATAAACACATAAAATAAACACATATACACCGATAGCTGCGTATACATATGTGCTCTAAATAAATTAATAAACACATCATGTCCGAAATGAAGTAGAAAGAAGTACGAACATACTGTAACAATGGTTAAATGTTATTTTACAGTGACATGTTGGTTATCTCTGCACACTGTTGTTATTTCTTTAAGATACATGTTTGGTTGTGCTGCAGGAAATAGGGAGTTAATGTGTGCAGGAAGGGGAGGGGGGTCCTTGTTGTTGTGTGACTGCGGGGCTGAAGTGAAGTGTTGTACGAGGGCACTCTCCCCGGAGTTAACGGCCCGTTTGCCTGTGTTGCCGAATAAAGGACAGACTGAGATCCAACCGTCTGGTTCTTGTGAATGTTACAATACTTATAATCCATAGCCTATACTCGACAACATCATCAAGCAAAGCATCAGGAAACGTCAAACAGTGAAAGTAAACATGACTAATAATGATACAAACAGGCTGAGTGTGTGCCTGTTTTTGATGCGTGCTTCTGATGGTGCCCTCAGCTTATTTCCTCGATCTGTTACTCGAGGGTCAGTCCGCCCGTTGTTCTAGATCTACTGGCGTTTAGATCAACTGGCGTTAGTCGAACAGATGTGTGGCAGACTTGCGTTTCAGGAGCTGCTACCGACAAACCAGCAAAAAAACGCCAAATGTGTCACCTGTGACACTTGTGAGGTTATCTCAAACACACTCCGTCAGTCTTGATGCTGTTGAACAACAAAATGTTTAAAAATGTGGCGAGTTTACCTGGTGATATCCTCATGCGCGACGCGATCGCGAAAACAGCAAACAATTAACACCACGCCGATGTTGTTCACGGGACAGCAAGAGTAAACGATCGGGAGACTCTTGTCGTCGTTATCGTTCCCCTGCACGTTTTATTTCTCCGGTTTCAGCGTTTTTGCTTCACAACTACAGCGAGCAGTTTACTTTGTGCACTAACATGGACTCGAGTCAACCAACTTGTGACACACATCTGCAGCACGTTTGAATTCGTGTCATGCACAACACATTTGTACCTTCCAATTGTGTCTGTTTGTGCGTCATGCAAATAAACCTTTGAAAATAATGAAATGACACTAATATTTCACTAGTGTTGTTGCAAAAACGCTGAAACCGGAGAAATAAAACGTGGGAGGGGAACGATAACGACGACAAGAGTCTCCCGATCGTTTACTCTTGCTGTCCCGTGAACAACATCGGCGTGGTGTTAATTGTTTGCTGTTTTCGCGATCGCGTCACGCGTGAGGATATCACCAGGTAAACTCGCCACATTTTTAAACATTTTGTTGTTCAACAGCATCAAGACTGACGGAGTGTGTTTGAGATAACCTCACAAGTGTCACAGGTGACACATTTGGCGTTTTTTTGCTGGTTTGTCGGTAGCAGCTCCTGAAACGCAAGTCTGCCACACATCTGTTCGACTAACGCCAGTTGATCTAAACGCCAGTAGATCTAGAACAACGGGCGGACTGACCCTCGAGTAACAGATCGAGGAAATAAGCTGAGGGCACCATCAGAAGCACGCATCAAAAACAGATCTGGAACACCGTGCATGGGTGAAGAATCTAAGATGAGCTTCTTGCCATGTTTAAACTTCCTGAAGAAGTTTAAACATGGCAGACAGACACGTCATCGTATTATTAACAGCGGTTCTCTTTTCCCAAGTCCTCATCAATTATTCTACACAAATTTCTTTGATGAAAGAAAAAGCCATCGGGAGAGGACACGTGAAGTCATTTTTGGACTAATTCCAGCCCGTAGCTGATGTGTCGAATAAACAGAAGTTCTGACTCCGTTACTTGAGCATAAGTTATTTGATTATAAGTAACTTGAACATAAGTTACTAGTGTAAGTAACCAAACCACTGCTGTTGTTAACGAGCAAAGCATTCAAATCTGCACCCATTACCTTCAAATTGAGGTTTCTCACGGAGAACATCATCTGCTCGGCTGTCATTCTCACAATGAAACTGAAACACACATAGCAGTGAGGCGTTTGAGGAACGTCAGAAAAGGCCAGTAGCTCTTTAAAAGATAAAAGACAAATTTACAGGTTCACAGAAACTGTTTCCACTTTCTCAGAAATGCAGCAACTGGTTATTTCTTGAAGTCTGACAGTATTATTCAATGCATGTCTATACTCAGTATTTCTAATATAAATATCACTATGTGTACAAAAGGCCCCGTAGTTATGGTTTTATTCTGTTCAGTTGTTAGTTCCCCTGTAGTTTTTAGAGTGGCCAGTAGAGGTCACCCCACTGCTTTTGTATGAGAGACTATGTCCAGGGAGAGACGTGGGCAAAGCACCTGAGCTTTTCTGCTCCAGATTACTGGCAGAGAATTGGTTATTCTGTGAGAAGTGTGCTTTTGTGAAGTCCAGAGGAAGTCGACACTCATCCAGACCATCAAAGATGAAACACACCGGAAAGTCTTCAAAGCTGCAGATTCCTGCTTTTTTTTGTCAGTAAAGAAGTGATGAACAAGTTCCACCAAGCTGAACTTTTTCTCTTTCAGACATTCAGCTCTCTGAAAGTGAATGGAAATATGAACTGGATGTCCTGGTTGGCTTATGTTCTTCAGCCCAGTCCAGAGGTGATTCTGAGTTAAGACTGTTTTCCCAATGCCGGCCACTCCCTTTGTGAGCACTGTTCTGATCTCTTCCTTTTTTCCAGGTAAACCTTTAAAAATGTCTTCTCGTTTGATTGTTGTTTCTTGCCTGTCTACTTTCCTGGATGATGTTTCAAGCTGTCTGATTTCATGTTCATTATTGACCTCTGTAGTATCCCCATCTGTAATGTAGAGTTCAGCGTAGATCTGATTCAGATGGGTAGGGTTTCTTGCTTTAGCAATGCCCTCAAGCACACACTGAAATTTCATCTTCAGACTGTATTTAAATTTATGCTGACAAACTGCAGCATGGCATTCTGAAAGAACACACACAAAGCAGGATTTTTAGAAGTACAAAGGTACATCAAACCTACCACCAATTATGCATTCTCCTAAAGCATGAGTATTTGAATCTATCAGTCGATCAGCCATTTAGTCTTCATTCAGTGGGGTAAATCTTTGGAAGATTGTCTTACTGCTCTGTAGACAGTCAGCCAGCTTCCCCTGGTTCATTTTTCTTAGGAAGTGCAGCGTGCTCCTTAGAAATGAGTCTTTCTGCTGTTTGTCGTCACACCCCAAAAATCTGTCATCCTCACACTCATTGCCTTCTGAGTTATCTGGACTCACACTCTTCTGCAGGTTTTTCAGCTCATTTTTCCCAAAAGGGATAATATTGTCCTCCAGTTGCTGTAATAGAACGTAAATGAAGAATACAATTAGACTAATGAAGCCACACATCAGATCTATGGTGGCCAGACTGGCAAACCACAGGTTTGCAAAATATAGCATGGGTATGTCTGTGAACTGACCATATTTAAAATATTAGTTTTAACATGGACAAACCATAAAGTTGGAGTCCACGTCATACTGATGACTTTGATCCTCTGAGTTCTCCCAGTCCTCAATCCTGTGGATGAACCATACAATAATTAGCTTATATTATCTCTCATTAAATAGCATAAACAGGAATAAATGCTTAAAAAAAGTAAACCTTTTTCCTTGTTCTGATAAGGGTTTACTTTTCCAGGTCCCACATCTATAGAGTCCAGATTCTACAAAGATGTGCCTGCCAACATTATTTAGCACTATAACTTATTAGCACTATAATTTATTAGAGTCGCCCTAAAATCAGAACGTCCATGCCCCTTTCAGGGTGAAAACAAGGTGCTATTGCAGCTTTCAAAGAAGCACAATGAACTGTTTAAGAACTTCACTACAAAACATAATTGCTACAGTTAATCATGTTTTCTGTGCCGCAGGGAAACAAAAGGACAAACATTACAACTGATATATATTTTTTAAAATTTACGCTGCTCCTACAACATGTAGATGTCTACCTGCAAAGATCTGCATAGCATCAAATCAATGAATCCGGACCAAGCTTGACATTATGCTGTCCCACCTAATCCTTGAACCACTAGAAATGCCTAATGATTTTAACACATGTTAATTTGTTATCCTCCTCTATGGGTGCAATAACTGCTCCTGGTTCTACACAGTTTGTCATTCCTTGTATTGTAAGCAGGGAGAAATAGCAAATGATGACCAAACCAGTTCAATTGGTGGAAAGATTATGACAATATCCTTATATCATCATCTCCCTGAGACATTATGACTCCAAAAAGTTTGAGTTTTAAACTGTGAGGGAAGAAGTATAGATCAAGGAGGCTCATGAGAGACAAATTAGATTTAAAAAAGTTTGTATCTTTAACTAAAACGTACACTGTGCTTGAAGCTTTCTAACAGCAGGAAATATGGATTCCTAATATCAGTGTGTGTGTCTATGTGTGTGTTAGTTGTGTACATTAGCAAAGCTCTCCTGCCCTGTCACCAGATGTAAGAACCATTACACAACAATTCAAAGACACATCAGAGACATTTTACTGACAGCTTACTTCAGCTCATCAGGATCTTGCTTTTTAAACTTATAAATCATGCTTTTTGACTTGTTGCTGTTGAAGGAGACACAGCTGGGTGAAGATCCAGAAGATTGTAGTCTGTGATCAATCCTGAAATGAAAAAGCAATGATAAATGTTAATAAATGACTTTCTGTAAATATTAATTTTTTTTTAAAATAAAAAAAAGTATTGTGTCTAAAATTCCTCTCCAAATTTACCTTCCATCAGCAATTTTTTTAAAATAAGACTCCATTGGCTGGTCAGTTTTCATGGACACAGAATTTAGTTTATTTCCAGTTTCAGGTCCAGCAGGTCCATTAGAGTGTGGCATGTGCTGCTGCTGCTGCTGCTGCTGCTGCTCAGGCTTCAATACAAAGGACACACAGAGCAGGGATTGTGAATGATAATCAGGTGCTGAGCTCTGATACACAGAAGATAAATAAATATAAATAAATATAAAAAATACAAAAATAAGTTGACCAATATTATACGTGTATGTAGAAAGGAGTATTATAGTAAAATATTGAACAACAATAAACATAATATGAAGGGAATATGGGATGTTTTAAACGGTATCATTAAAAATAATTCTGGACAACAAAGTTATCCTCAATACTTTATCGACAATGGCAATATTATGGAAAACACTGCTGATAAGGTCAACAGCTTTAATCATTATTTTGTAAATATTGGACCAAAACTGGCAGAACAAATTCCTGAGTCACTGCCATCAGTAGACTGTAGTGAAAACCTGATTGATAGGAACCCTAACTCAATGTTCCTCACATCAGTGGAGGAAAAAGAAATAATTGACATTGTACACATGTGTAAATATAAAACATCTACTGATTGTAACGATATTGACATGAAAATCGTCAAGAAGGTCATTGAAGGAATTGTAGGACCTCTAACATATATTTGCAACTTATCATTTCAGACGGAAAAGTGCCAAACAAAATGAAAATAGCTAAAGTTGTGCCGCTGTATAAAACCGGGGATAGACGCCACTTCACAAATTACAGGCCTGTTTCTTTACTACCACAATTCTCCAAAATCCTAGAAAACCTGTTTAATAAACGATTAGACAAATTCTTAGATAAATATAAATTACTCTCTGACAGTCAATATGGATTCAGATCAAAAAGATCAACATCTCTGGCATTAATCGAATCAATTGAGGAGATTACGAATGCTATAGATCAGAAACAGTATGCAGCTGGAGTATTTCTGGATCTCAAGAAAGCATTCGACACAATCAATCATGACATATTAATTAATAAACTGGAACGGTACGGGATCAGGGGGGTTGTACTGCAATGGGTGAAAAATTATTTAAGTGACAGGAAACAATTTGTGAAGCTGGGTGTCCATTCCTCATCATGCTTGGACATTGCTTGTGGTGTTCCACAAGGCTCTGTACTGGGTCCAAAATTATTTATTATTTATATAAATGATATTTGTAAGGCATCTGATATATTAAAATTAGTATTATTTGCAGATGACACAAATATTTTTTGTTCTGGGGGGAATCTAAAGGAGCTGCTGGATACAATTACTTCAGAAATGTGCAAAATTAAAAAATGGTTTAACAGGAACAAACTATCGCTAAATCTAAGTAAAACTAAAATTATCTTATTTGGGAATTCCCTTAGAAATGCACAAGTGCAGATTCATGTAGATGGTGTGGAAATTGAAAGAGTACTTGAACATAAGTTTCTTGGTGTGATTATAGATGATAAATTAAACTGGAAGTCTCATATAAATCATATACATAACAAAATTTCAAGAAGTGTCTCAATCTTGAGTAAAGTAAAACACATTCTGGACCACAAATCACTCCACATTCTCTATTGTTCCCTGATTGCACCGTATTTGAATTACTGTGCAGAGGTTTGGGGCAATACTTACAAATGTTCGCTATCATCAATCTTTATATTACAAAAAAGGGCCATAAGGATAATCCATAAAACTGGTTACAGAGATCATACAAATCCACTATTCTTAAAATCAAAAATTCTAAAATTCACAGATCTGGTTCATTTTCTCACTGCACAAATTATATATAAAGCAATAAATAACCTGCTTCCTGACAATATTCTAAAAATGTTTTCTAAAAGGGAACGGGGATACAATTTGAGGGGGGAATTAAATTTAAAACATCCTCGTATCCGTACAACATTAAAAAGTTTTTGCATCTCTGTGTGTGGAGTGAAGCTGTGGAACAGACTAAGTAAAGATATGAAGCAATGTCCAAGCATGGCGCAGTTTAAAAAGCGGTTTAAGGATATGGTTTTTACAGGGTACAGGGAAAGGTAGAGATTTGATAGGGTGTTCTTGTCTAATATTTTCATGTGTGTGCGGGTGCACGGGTATGTTGGTATGGGTATATATATATATATATTTGTAGGTTGTGTATCCTTGAGGTGTTATGGGGTTATTGAAATGTGTAATGTGGTTGTGTTATACGTATGTTGGATAGATAAATATTGTTATTAATTTATTTTTATATTGAGCAGCACGGTGGCACGGTGGTTAGCACTGTTGCCGCACAGCAAGAAGGTCCTGAGTTCAATTCCACCATCAGGCCGGGGTCTTTCTGTGTGGAGTTTGCATGTTCTCCCCGTGTTTGCGTGGGTTCTCTCCGGGTACTCCGGCTTCCTCCCACCGTCCAAAGACATGCAGCTTGTGGGGATAGGTTAATTGGATAATCCAAATTGCCACTAGGTGTGAATGTGAGTGTGAATGGTTGTCTGTCCCTGTGTGTTGGCCCTGCGACAGACTGGCGACCTGTCCAGGGTGTACCCGCCTCTCGCCCTAGACAGCTGGGATAGGCTCCAGCGCCCCCCGTGACCCTGAAAAGGATAAGCGGAAGCGAATGGATGGATGGATATAATATAAAAATCACATAAATAATGTAATTGCAAGGAGGTATTTCTGTAGTCTATTGATACTAGATAGTGGAAAAGGGGTGGGATTAAATAAGCTTATGCTTCTTCCTGCTCCTTTTTGAACATGAACGTTATTTGGAGTTGTGGTTGCTCGTTTTCCTTTTGTTTTGCTTTGTTCATTTGTCTCTTTTAATTCTATTTTGTTGTACTTTTTCAACATGTTCAAAATAAAGATTCAATCAATCAAATCTATAATCGAGATCATACCCAACCCAGACCTTCACACATACATCAAGCTGGGGGGAGAGTCACATTATACCTCTTACTCGATTAAAGCTATCAAGCACTGCAGCAGCTTATTGACCTCAGCACTGAGAACATGCAGGTGAAAGTTTTCACTCAAATAAACTCTCAAATAACTTCATGTGTCTTGAACAGATCTGTTACATAACATAATGAAACGTCTGTCAATGGAGCTGATAATGTGATTCAGATCTTTTATTATTAAACGCTTTCTTGAGTGATTCAAATATAATGTTACACCCGCAACAATAACACATTCACCCTCAGTTGTTTTCCTGAGAACATAATCAAACTGCTAATGTTTAACCGTAGGCTAATACCATTGCAACCGATCAGTGATCTACTCACTGGACTTTCAGACACAAAATCTATCAGTGTGCAGCTCTCTGGTGTCCCGAGCACTTCTGTATACAACAGCTGTCTTGCGCTGTATGTTAAACCTTTATAGGATGAAGCGAAGCAACACTTCTTCCTCTCTACATGCTTGCATGTTTCTCCACACCTTCGTTGTTTTTTTTTTCAATTTTCAATTTATTTTTATTTATATAGCGCCAAATCACAACAAAAGTCGCCTCAAGGCGTTACATCACTGTGACCGGTTTGACAGGTTAGACTGTCTGAGCTGTGTTCAAAGAATCAGATATTATAATGAGAAATGACTTGTGCTTCTCAGAAACACTTATTAGTAAATATTATATCTCTACTTGGCTTTTGAATATTTGCTCTTGTATTTGCCCTTTATACATGAAAAAAATTGTGAAATACTTGTGCAGTAGTGGGACTGCGGGGATAAATGTTGCTATCAGTGCAGTGTTCCAGAACACGCGCAGTTACTATAGCAGAGCTGTAGAAGGTTCTTAACCCATCAGCTTTAGGGTTAAGAACCTTAAAGCTGGCAGTGCAAGGAGCACTGCCAGCACTACAAAATTACCTGCAGCAGGCCTCAGGTGTGAATGTCTCTGTACAAACAAGCACAACCACCTCGGTGGTGGATCAGTGATGGTCTTTGGAAACATATGCAGGTGAGGCAATGGCATCCCGACTGTCATGATGTGTCAGGAGGACTAACAATCACACGTTCAACTACAATAACACTGGAAATGAATCATATTCATATAAGCTTTGAGACAAGACTGAGGATTAAGATGAAGCAGTGTGAAATGTTGGTGATGACAGAAATTTAATGGATTCATAGGTAACAGTCACCTGAACACATTATAAGCAAGTGATGGGGCTAGACAGCATGGCTGTTTTAATGATTTCTGCTAAGACAAGACAATAATTACAGGCTCCAACTTAACTGCTGTGAAATCCCCAAAAAGGTTAATGAAAAAGAAACTATGCAGGAAGGTGGAGCATCCCTGGATCAGTATCAGTCTGCAAGAAATCACACCACAGGTCATTTCAACATGAATGTCCCTTAAACTACAGCCTGGAGAAAGTCCCGCTGCATTTCCCTGATCGGATCTAATCTATTTTAGTTAATACAACACAGTTACACAGCTCACGGCTGAAACCAGTTCAGTTCAGATGAAGGTGAACCCAGTTTAATGAAGATGCCATAAAATACTAGTAACTGGAATTTTGATATTGAAAATGAAAATTATCTTAACATTTTCTCCACCTTTTTAATTTTTTGAGTGTACAGTTTTAAAGTATTCAGTAACTACAGTTAAATTTAAATGAAACAGATTGTTATCATTATTATTATTATTATTATTAATATTATTATTATTGGTCAGGGAAAGTATGACTGGACTACTAATCTCCATGGAAACAATACCTGTCTATCCATGGCACAGTTTTTTCTGCCATGCCAGTTTTTACCACAGAGCTAAAAGAGCTAAAGTCACTATTTCAACCATGCTTGCTGCGGGGGTGCAAAATGTACAAACAACAGAAAGTTTCATCCTCTGAAGCGCAGTTTAAACCCGAGTTTAACAGCATGCTGAAGCCTCGGTCACTCTCACAAACTCACTATACACCAGCCAAAGGTCACAACAAAGCATGACACTGACACACAAAACGACGTGATCATTTAATGCGAGTCCATAAGAATATAGTTCATGGTGATGATGACAATGGTGATAACCGGACGGAGATATAAAATAAACACATATACACCGATAGCTGCGTATACATATGTGCTCTAAATAAATTAATAAACACATCATGTCCGAAATGAAGTAGAAAGAAGTACGAACATACTGTAACAATGGTTAAATGTTATTTTACAGTGACATGTTGGTTATCTCTGCACACTGTTGTTATTTCTTTAAGATACATGTTTGGTTGTGCTGCAGGAAAAGGGAGTTAATGTGTGCAGGAAGGGGAGGGGGGTCCTTGTTGTTGTGTGACTGTGCGGGGCTGAAGTGAAGTGTTGTACGAGGGCACTCTCCCCGGAGTTAACGGCCCGTTTGCCTGTGTTGCCGAATAAATGGACAGACTGAGATCCAACCGTCTGGTTCTTGTGAATGTTACAATACTTATAATCCATAGCCTATACTCGACAACATCATCAAGCAAAGCATCAGGAAACGTCAAACAGTGAAAGTAAACATGACTAATAATGATACAAACAGGCTGAGTGTGTGCCTGTTTTTGATGCGTGCTTCTGATGGTGCCCTCAGCTTATTTCCTCGATCTGTTACTCGAGGGTCAGTCCGCCCGTTGTTCTAGATCTACTGGCGTTTAGATCAACTGGCGTTAGTCGAACAGATGTGTGGCAGACTTGCGTTTCAGGAGCTGCTACCGACAAACCAGCAAAAAAACGCCAAATGTGTCACCTGTGACACTTGTGAGGTTATCTCAAACACACTCCGTCAGTCTTGATGCTGTTGAACAACAAAATGTTTAAAAATGTGGCGAGTTTACCTGGTGATATCCTCACGCGTGACGCGATCGCGAAAACAGCAAACAATTAACACCACGCCGATGTTGTTCACGGACAGCAAGAGTAAACGATCGGGAGACTCTTGTCGTCGTTATCGTTCCCCTCGCACGGTTTATTTCTCCGGTTTCAGCGTTTTTGCTTCACAACTACAGCGAGCAGTTTACTTTGTGCACTAACATGGACTCGAGTCAACCAACTTGTGACACACATCTGCAGCACGTTTGAATTCGTGTCATGCACAACACATTTGTACCTTCCAATTGTGTCTGTTTGTGCGTCATGCAAATAAACCTTTGAAAATAATGAAATGACACTAATATTTCACTAGTGTTGTTGCAAAAACGCTGAAACCGGAGAAATAAACGTGCGAGGGGAACGATAACGACGACAAGAGTCTCCCGATCGTTTACTCTTGCTGTCCCGTGAACAACATCGGCGTGGTGTTAATTGTTTGCTGTTTTCGCGATCGCGTCACGCGTGAGGATATCACCAGGTAAACTCGCCACATTTTTAAACATTTTGTTGTTCAACAGCATCAAGACTGACGGAGTGTGTTTGAGATAACCTCACAAGTGTCACAGGTGACACATTTGGCGTTTTTTTGCTGGTTTGTCGGTAGCAGCTCCTGAAACGCAAGTCTGCCACACATCTGTTCGACTAACGCCAGTTGATCTAAACGCCAGTAGATCTAGAACAACGGGCGGACTGACCCTCGAGTAACAGATCGAGGAAATAAGCTGAGGGCACCATCAGAAGCACGCATCAAAAACAGATCTGGAACACCGTGCATGGGTGAAGAATCTAAGATGAGCTTCTTGCCATGTTTAAACTTCCTGAAGAAGTTTAAACATGGCAGACAGACACGTCATCGTATTATTAACAGCGGTTCTCTTTTCCCAAGTCCTCATCAATTATTCTACACAAATTTCTTTGATGAAAGAAAAAGCCATCGGGAGAGGACACGTGAAGTCATTTTTGGACTAATTCCAGCCCGTAGCTGATGTGTCGAATAAACAGAAGTTCTGACTCCGTTACTTGAGCATAAGTTATTTGATTATAAGTAACTTGAACATAAGTTACTAGTGTAAGTAACCAAACCACTGCTGTTGTTAACGAGCAAAGCATTCAAATCTGCACCCATTACCTTCAAATTGAGGTTTCTCACGGAGAACATCATCTGCTCGGCTGTCATTCTCACAATGAAACTGAAACACACATAGCAGTGAGGCGTTTGAGGAACGTCAGAAAAGGCCAGTAGCTCTTTAAAAGATAAAAGACAAATTTACAGGTTCACAGAAACTGTTTCCACTTTCTCAGAAATGCAGCAACTGGTTATTTCTTGAAGTCTGACAGTATTATTCAATGCATGTCTATACTCAGTATTTCTAATATAAATATCACTATGTGTACAAAAGGCCCCGTAGTTATGGTTTTATTCTGTTCAGTTGTTAGTTCCCCTGTAGTTTTTAGAGTGGCCAGTAGAGGTCACCCCACTGCTTTTGTATGAGAGACTATGTCCAGGGAGAGACGTGGGCAAAGCACCTGAGCTTTTCTGCTCCAGATTACTGGCAGAGAATTGGTTATTCTGTGAGAAGTGTGCGTTAATGAGCAACGTAAGTTGGTGATGTGTGAGGATGTGATAATAAGATGTGTTTGGGACTGTAACCAAGGTTAGGGGGGAAATGATTATGTTTCTGTCTGTGCCGCTAGCGGGTGCTAAGCTAAGCTAAGCTAAGCTAACTTTCCTGCCGTGTGGTTGGGCATAGCTGTGTACCTGGTTAGCTCTCTCAGGGGGTCTATGTGTGAGTCGTGGGTAATATATGGCCTATGGTATTAGAGGGGATGTTAGTTTATTTCCCGCCTGTGTTTATGTTGATGTACTCTGGAGATATTGTTGTGAACACTTTAGTAATGTAGTATTTTCTTTCTGTTCCGTTCAGGGACCACACACACACATCCATGCCCACGCACCTAAACCTGTATGCGATACCTGCTCCTCTGACAACCTCTGTTACCTTCAACTGTGTGAAGTCAATACGAGAGTCTGCACTATCCTCGGTGTCTTTATTGTCTCCCTTCTGAACATTCATCCGGGCCTTGAGCAGTGTTCTGGCCGACACTCCGGGGAGTGGTAGCTGCAAACTGAACTAGCACCTTACAGTCCTTCCAGTACAAGCTATCTATCCAACATTAATGGTCCTTCGAGCCGGATGTAAGCTGCTTCTACCCTAACAAGATGGATGATATTCAGAACTTCTCAGCTCTTGGTGCGCGCCCACGGCGTAATGTACGGCGTCCCCTCCGCTATGAAGCTTATGAGACTGACTTCCCCGGGCTTGGTGCAGGTTACCAGGAGGAAAGTGAGACAGGAGGCGACACCCGTTCTTCCCACCATCCTCCGTCTGACCCCTCTGATGACCGCTCACACGGCCATGTCACACCATTGAGAGCAGAGTTAGAAGATATACAGCGTGAAAGGTTCCTGTTCCAGCAGTCGCATGACGAGATGAGAGCCGGGCTGGCTAATTTCCAGGCCCTTCATGCTAGTTTGCTGCAGTTGCTGGACCGTGCAGAGAGTCTGCAGCTCAGTCCACCGCCCAGAGCCCCTGCTGTTCATCTCCAGCCACCCCCTGCTGAAGAGGAAGAGGACTGGCCTCCACCACCTCCTCCTGTTGTGTTCAAGGAGGAGTCTGTCTCCAGCCAGGGTCCAGTTGCGGACCGCATCGATACGATGCTGAAAGAGCTCCAGGATCTGAAGAGGGAGTCTATGGCTGCACAGGAGAGTCAGATCACCCCCCTACATGAATCTAGGCCAGGGTTCACTTCTCCTCAGCCAAGGATCACCTACCCTCCAGCGCCGCCTCCGAGAGCACACCCCCCTCCATTGCAACCACTGCCAACTCCACCCCCGTCCTCATCTACTCCTTTCTTGACCTACAGGGGGCCTCGTCCAAGCATTCCCAAGCTCTCACGCCGTGATCCTGGGGAATTTGCTCGTCTAAAGATGGCGCTAGAGAACTTATTGCCCCCGGAGAGTTCAGAGCTCTTCAGGTACCAAGTCTTGTTAGATCACCTACACCTGGAGGAAGCAAAGTTGATAGCGGACGCTTACCTCCATTCTGCCACGCCCTTCAGTGACACTATGAACGCTCTTAACGACAGGCTTGGGCAGCCCCACCAGCTTGCCCTGAGAAGGATTGCTGCTGTCATGGACTCACCTGACATCCGCCGAGGGGATGCAGCCGCATTTGAGCGATTCTCTCTCCACATCCAGTCGCTCGTGGGCATGCTGAAGACTTTAGGCCCTGATGGGGAGGTCGAACTCCAGTGTGGCTCCCATGTGGCTCGACTCCTTAGTAAGCTTCCTTCAGAGCAAAGGGCTGATTTCCGTCGGTGCATGTACAACCATTCTGGTCAGGCTTACACCCTGGACGACCTGGCTACCTGGTTAAAGTACGAATCCTGGTGTCAGGACTATGACGGCTTGCCCACTCCAGCGATCACCAGAGAGAAGCCTGATGTCAGACCAAGCAGACGCTCTGTTGCGGTTCTTCACAGTGGAGAGAGCTCACCCAGGTCACTAGGTACCACTCCAAACAAAGCTAGGCAGCAACCCTACTGCGCCTTTTGCGATAACCGTGCCCATCACCTGAGTCAGTGTCAGGAGGTCATCAAGCTGAGTCGCGAACAACTCACAGACTGGATAAAGACTAACAAGAGGTGCTGGCGTTGCGCACGCTCCCATCAGGCAGCACAGTGTACCCTCAAGAAACCCTGCAGCCTGTGTCAGGGTCGTCATCTGCAGGTCCTTCACGACGTGAATTCGAAGTCCTTGAAGCCACATGGCCCAGTGTCTGCTCCCCCACGAGAAGGTGAGAATCCTACGGGCGTCCTGTACCTCGATCGTCCTACAGAGAGCGGCCAAGTCCTGTTAAAGGTTGTCCCAGTCATCCTTCACCATAATGGCAAGACTTTGAGCACTCACGCAGTTTTGGATGATGGGTCAGAGAGGACTATGCTGCTACCCACCGCTGCCCAGAAGCTTGACCTTCAAGGCATTCCAGAGACACTTCCATTGCGCACTATCAGGCAAGATGTGCAAACGCTGTATGGATCATGTGTCTCATTCGAGATCTCCCCTGGTGGCAAACCTGGCTGAAGTACAAAGTCCGCAACGCCTTCACCGCCACCCGTATCGACCTAGCCGAGCACAGCTACCCGGTGGAGTCCTTGCAGCGGAAGTATAGACACCTCCGAGGCCTGCCTCTCCAGTCCTTCAAGAAGGTCAAACCTCTCCTTCTGATTGGCAGTGACCACCCACAGCTCATCACTCCAACTGAAGCTGTCCGTCTTGGTCCACCGGGCGGTCCCGCCGCTATGCGCACCAGGTTAGGGTGGACACTACAGGGTCCCTCCAGCCTTATAGGTTCCTCTTCGCTGCCACAACAGTGCCTCTTCACGACCGCCATTCCTCCCCAGGTGAGTGAGCTACTCAAACATGTAGAGAAGCTATGGCAGGTAGATGTTGTCCCGGTGCCAGAAGGCAAGGTGGTTACCCGTTCACGAGAAGATAACTATGCAGTTAGCCTGCTAGAGCAGAAGACAGTTCGCGTAGACGTCGAGGGCATCCAACGTTATGCCACCCCCCTCCTTCGCCGCGAGAACATGCCACACCTTAAAGCTAGCCCTAGTGCAGTCGTTCCCAGTTTGAGAAGTGTGGAGAGAAGGCTCCAGAAAGATCCAGAACGAGCTATGGTCTACCGGGCGGAGATAGAGAAGTTGGTCCAGGCCGGTTCGGTGGTTAAGGTGCCCCCCTCTGAGGTTGCTCAAGCAGATGAGTCATGGTACATCCCTCACCACCTTGTTAGCCACAATGGCAAAGATCGCCTTGTGTTTAACTGTTCGTTCCAGTTCCAAGGCCAAGCCCTCAACGAACATCTTCTACCTGGGCCCACCCTGAGCGCATCGCTCCTTGGTGTCCTCCTTCGCTTTCGAGAGCATGCCGTAGCCATCAGTGGGGACATTAAAGGTATGTTCCACCAGATTCGCCTTCTTCCCGAAGATCGTTCCCTCCTGCGGTTTGTGTGGCGGGATCTGCACCCCGAGGAACCGGTGGCCGTTTATGAATGGCAGGTCCTCCCCTTCGGTACAACCTGCAGCCCATGCTGTGCAACCTTCGCTCTGCAGCACCACGCCAGGGACCACACGGAAGGAGATGATCCGCTACGTCACTCTGTGGGACAGTGCTTCTATGTTGATAACCTTCTCCAGAGCGTGCGACCCCTGAAGAAGCCCGGGACCTAGTGGACAGGCTAAGAGCCCTCCTGTCTTCTGCTGGATTTGTCCTTCGCCAGTGGGCCAGTAATGAACCCAGCACCATTGGCCACCTACCTGAAGACCTCAGATCCACAAGTGCAGAACTTTGGCTCACTCAAGACAAATCAGACACCTCTGAGCCAACTCTAGGCCTTAGCTGGCACTTCCCCACGGACACCTTGGGTTACAGACACCGCAAAATCAGTTATGGCGCCCCCACCATGCGGAATATTTATAAGGTTCTCGCAAGCCAATACGACCCACTTGGCTTTATCCTACCGTACACCACCCGAGCCAAGATGCTGGTGAGGCGCCTTTGGGATCAACAGAGGGGATGGGATGACCCGCAGCTTCCGCCAGAACTACTCCAGCAGTGGAAAACCTGGGAAGAGGAATTGCTGTTCCTTGCACAAGTCCTGCTTCCTCGCCCGTATCTCCCAAAGCACATCATGGAGGCAGTTAGTGAGAGAGAGATTCACATATTCTGTGATGCGTCAGAGCAGGCTTATGGCGCGGTGGCCTACATGAGAACAGTGACAGGGGATGGCAGCTCACATCTAGCCTTCCTGATGGCTCGCTCCCGTGTTGCCCCTAAACGCATTCTCTCCATGCCCAGACTTGAGCTGTGTGGTGCCCTCTCCGGAGCTCATCTTTCCCGTCTCCTTAAAAATGAGCTCACTCTGGACATAAAGAGAATAGTGCTGTGGTCTGACTCCACAACTGTACTCACCTGGTTGAGGTCCCAGTCATGCCACTTCAAGGTCTTCGTCGGCACCCGCGTGGCTGAGATCCAGGAATTAACTCACTCGCACACCTGGCGCTATGTGGACTCAGCCCAGAACCCCGCAGATGATATAACCCGGGGGAAGTCCCTTCTCGAGCTGACCAGACCCAATAGATGGAGTCAAGGGCCTCCTTTCCTGCTCCTAGGTCCAGAACAGTGGCCTCCAGAGCCAAGTGGCACCCTGGCTGAGCCTCCAGGCCCATCTGAGCTCCGTAAAGAGACCTTTTGTGGATTCTCTACCACCTTCGACCCCGCCACTTCGAACTTCAGCAAATATGACACCTGGACACAGCTGCTGGAAGCAGCTATTACGCAGTTGCATGGGGCGGCCAAAGGCGGTGGAACTTCATCGGCTTATGACTATGTTCGAGCAGAGATGGATGTCCTGAGAGAAGCTCAACAGGAGAGCTTCCCTGAGGAGTATCGACTCCTTAAGCAGGGGAAATCCATCAGTCGCAGCAGTCGTCTCCTTGCACTATCCCCTGAGTTCGACCACGAGAATGAGGTCATCCGTGTAGGTGGACGTCTTCGCCGCTCTGAAGATCTCGCCTTTACCAGCTCCCATCCTTTAGTTTTGGATCCGACACATCCAGTCACCCGCCTGTTCATCCAGGACGTCGACAGTCGCCTGCGCCATCCAGGGCCAGAGAGGGTCTTCGCGGAGATTCGGCGCACTCATTGGATCCTGAGAGGCCGGGAAGCAGTTAGGCGTTTTCAAAGGACCTGTCTTGAGTGCCGCAGATGGAGAGCCCGACCGACTGTTCCCAAGATGGCGGACCTGCCAGTTGCGCGCCTCCGCCTTTACAAACCTGCCTTTTATTCGACAGGCGTGGACTGTTTTGGACCCTTTGAGGTCAAAATCGGGCGCCGTGTGGAGAAGAGGTGGGGCATCATCTTTAAGTGCCTAACTATCAGAGCGGTCCACCTTGATGTCCTAACCTCCATCGATACAGATGCCTTCCTAATGGCACTTCGACGCTTCATTGCCAGGAGAGGAACTCCAGCTGAGCTGTACTCAGACCAAGGGACCAACTTCCGTGGGGGAGAAAGGGAACTCCAAGCAGCTTTTGCAGCCATGACCTCTGACCTGCAGAAGCTCCTGGCTCCCCATAAGATCGTCTTCCACTTCAATCCACCAGCGGCTCCTCATTTCGGGGGAGTGTGGGAGCGGGAGATTAGGTCTGTCAAGATGGCACTCTACACTACAGTAGGATCCCAACCCCTTCAAGAAGAGGTCCTCCACACGGTCCTTGTGGAGGTGGAGGGCATCTTGAACTCCAAACCACTAGGTTATGTCCCGTCTGACATCAGTGATCCTGATCCAGTGACCCCCAACTGCTTTCTGATGGGGCGGCCTGACGGAGCACTTCCTCAAGTGGCTTATCCCAGAGAAGAGCTCCTGAGTCGCCGGAGGTGGAAGCACTCCCAGGTGCTGGCTGACCACTTCTGGTCTCGATTCATCCGGCTGTACCTTCCAAGCCTGCAGCTTCGGCAGAAATGGCGGTCATCCCCCGCAGATGTCACAGAAGGTTCAGTGGTGATGATCGTAGATCCTCAGCTGCCTCGTGCTTCCTGGCTCGTGGGCTGCATCTCCAAAGTCCACCCCAGTCCCGACGGGCACATCAGGTCTGCTGACATCAAGGTGAAGGACCGGACCTTCACCCGACCTGTGGCGAGGCTGGTGGTACTGCCTGCCCTCCCGGACGAAGACAAAGGACAATCACCGTGACTTTGTTTGTAAAATTGCCTTTTGTTGTGAGCAAATGTACTTCATACATTTGGGGGCGGCTGTACAAAAGGCCCCGTAGTTATGGTTTTATTCTGTTCAGTTGTTAGTTCCCCTGTAGTTTTTAGAGTGGCCAGTAGAGGTCACCCCACTGCTTTGTATGAGAGACTATGTCCAGGGAGAGACGTGGGCAAAGCACCTGAGCTTTTCTGCTCCAGATTACTGGCAGAGAATTGGTTATTCTGTGAGAAGTGTGCGTTAATGAGCAACGTAAGTTGGTGATGTGTGAGGATGTGATAATAAGATGTGTTTGGGACTGTAACCAAGGTTAGGGGGGAAATGATTATGTTTCTGTCTGTGCCGCTAGCGGGTGCTAAGCTAAGCTAAGCTAAGCTAACTTTCCTGCCGTGTGGTTGGGCATAGCTGTGTACCTGGTTAGCTCTCTCAGGGGGTCTATGTGTGAGTCGTGGGTAATATATGGCCTATGGTATTAGAGGGGATGTTAGTTTATTTCCCGCCTGTGTTTATGTTGATGTACTCTGGAGATATTGTTGTGAACACTTTAGTAATGTAGTATTTTCTTTCTGTTCCGTTCAGGGACCACACACACACATCCATGCCCACGCACCTAAACCTGTATGCGATACCTGCTCCTCTGACAACCTCTGTTACCTTCAACTGTGTGAAGTCAATACG